TCCGTATTGGTGGATTCCATAGGAGCGGTAAAGTTGGGCGGGTAATATCGACTCAAATGTTATTAAATTAATTGGCGCGATGTGGGGCGTTTGTAGCTTAGCGGTTAGAGCGTAAGCTTCCGGTAAAAGTCTTCTCTAATGCGCGGGTTCAAAATCCGCCGAATGCCTCGAGTTTTTTCACACTTGGGTCAACTAAAATTAAGCAAATCTGCCAAACCTCTCATAATATAAAAATAACGTTTTTGGTACTTTGTAGCAATGGAACTACGCACACATTTTTAATGTAATGGAACCTCAGGACTCTGATTGAAGCACTACTTGAGAGATTCCTGAACATAAAAGGGATCATAGTAACTTTTACCCTAACATGGCAGTAGCTTGCTAAACCTCACTTTTTGAACAACAAGATGCACGCGTCTCAAGGCTGATCGGCGAAGGCTTGATGCCATGACACCTGACCACAGCGAGTTGAAGACAGGTACCACTATGAGATGCCGCTTCTTCAGGTGTAAGAAACCTTGGCAAGTTGATCCGCGTCAGAGGAGTGCACACTGCAGTCAATTAATCGTAAAGTAAATCGGAATGTTATTTCGCATGGTCTTTTCTGTACGCGAATGCCTTCTCCGCTTAGGTACTTTACTGAACTAAACTGACAGTTTTATCATCGATTCCAATGGGGCTTACCGTGTGACCACACCAGGGGGAGGTCACAGGGACTCTGAGTTGCACGTAAATTGGAGTAGAGAACTAGCAGATTCGCCTTGTCTCTACCACACTCTCTCCCTCTCCCCCCACCTGGGCCTGATATCCTGATCAAGTAAAAAAGACCAGAGATGAGGGAGGGCGCGGGTGGCTGGCGCGGCGGGAACCGCCATGTCTGGTCATATTACAAGCCATTGCAACCTGGCTCTCAGTGTACCATCCGGCTACACCAGATAAACATAGTGGGCAGAGTGGGAGGTTCAAGTAATCCAGAAATTTGGCGACCTTCCAAGCCACGGTGCTTAGCTCACCGTAATAGCTTGAAACGCGCCAGACCGTTTATAGAGTCAACAAATGCACTAGCCGTCGACCTCACACTCGCTTTCTATTCCCAGGCCTCAGTCACCA